CGTGGTTGCCCCTTTCAGACTCTGGAGGCTGCTCCGAGGTCTCCAGCAGCTTCTCTTCTCCAGGCTGAACAGCCCCAATGTTCTCAGCTTGGCTCCATACAGGAGCTGCTCCAGTCCCTGATCATTCTTGTGGCCTCCTCTGGACTTGCTCCAACAGCTCCATGTCCTTCTCATGCTGGGGACACCAGTTTTCCCTCTCTGCTGAAGGATGCTCAGGGAAACCAGGAGCTGAGGATGGCGAATTCCTCTAGAGGGAAACCTCCGCCTGCAGCAGCCTGGTGGAAGATGAGCTTTGCTGCATTGAAACGCTGACTCACCCTCCTCCTCCTCCTTCTCCTCCTCCTCCTCTTCCCATAGCCCAGCACACAGCTCTGCCAGCCAAAATAAATAGCTGGTACCTTTCTGCCCTCATTTATGTGTTTGGCAGCACTTCACAGGCGTGTTTTAGCCTCTCAGCATTAAAAAAAGAGAGAAGAAATCTTGCTAAGCAACCCCCTGATGGAAAAGTCTATTGGAAACAGCTTGTTCAATGCAGGGGTTTTCCCCTATGGATTGCAGCCTGAATTCCAGGCTGAAGGCAAACACCCCAGCCCTGCAGGCACAGGGCACTGGCCCCAGCCATCGCAGCCCATCTGCAACAGGGTGGGTTAATCTGCACCATGGAGATAAAGGAAACGTGCTCACGAAGCCAAGGTTTGGGGAGGGCAAGGCTCAAGTCCAGCTAAAATAAGCTGAGGTTAAGAGCTGCACTGAAGCTCGAGTGGAAAATCCCTCCTAGGAGGGCTGGAGCACAGAATTCCAGCCTGGTTTGGGTTGGAAAGGACCTTAAGATCATCCAGTCCCAACCCCTGCCGCAGACAGGGACACCTCACACCGGAGAATACCCCTCACAAGCTGCTTTTGGCACCATCTCCCTGTGGACCAGCACAGAGCCAGGGCTGGGATGGAAAACCAGCAGGATCAGGGTGCTGGAGGCCCCAACAGCAGCTTCAAAGCCTGGCAGGGATCAGGAATTTCCTCCCATCGGATTGGTGTGGAAAGGGTTGGGATAGGCTATGGCAGCCCAGGACATTTTTGGAGAGGGTGGGAAGGAGTCACAGGATAAAAGCAAATGCTGCTTCCAAATAGGAATTCTGGAGGTGAAAGGAGTGGGTTTAGGTGTCTGTGCAGTAACTGCTTTGCTTTCCCCTTGGTCCTCTCCTGCCCATCATCCCAATTACAATGGACACATCCTGCTTTATAGATGTGCCCCCAAAACCACAGGGATAAAGACACAGCAGAAATGGGACCTGGGAAGCGGGAGCCCAGGTAGGTGCATAACTGCCAACCCCAGAACCTGCTTTCCATAGAATCCCAGCCTGGTTTGTGTTGGAAGGGACCTTAAAGCTCCTCCAGCTCCAACCCCTGCCCCGGGCAGGGACACCTTCCACTAGAGCAGGTTGCTCCAAGCCCCTGTGTCCAACCTGCCCTTGAACACTGCCAGGGATGGGGCAGCCACAGCTTCTCTGGGCACCCTGTGCCAGCACCTCAGCACCCTCACAGGGAAGAGCTTCTGCCCAAGAGCTCATCTCAGTCTCCCCTCTGGCAGGTTCAAGCCATTCCCCTTGGCCTGTCCCTCCATCCCTTGTCCAAAGCCCCTCTCCAGGTTTCCTGGAGCCCCTTTAGGCACTGGAGCTGCTCTAAGGTCACCCCTCAAGGAGCCTTCTCTCCTCCAGCTGAACAAACCCAGCTCTCTCAGCCTGTCAAGAGAAGGTTTTTAACCTGCAAACAGCACCAAGGCTGTTATTTTTACAAGGGAAAGCACAATTTCTCCTTTCTCCTACTGCCAAGCCTGAGATGCAGCCTCCCTTTATCATCCCCATTCACTCTGCAGGAAGCAGGAGCTGTGGAGCTCTGATAACACAGGAGGAAACCCTCAAAACAGTTAAACCGATTGTTTTAGCCTCAACTAAACCTGCTGAGCTTCTTCCTCACATACAACCCTGGAGCACACAACCTTAAGAACAACAAACCCCAAAGAGTCTTTGCTTCAGGGCTCCACAGAGCAAACACCATCTTCCTGCTGCTGCCATTCCAGACAGTGTCAAAGCCTGGTGGGTTTAGCAAAGCTGAACCTTTGGAACCTGCTTCCTTGTGCAGTCAGTGAATAAGCAGCTGTAAATAAGTGCTGCTGATGCAGCAGCAAAAACCTGCCCATAAGAGAAGAGAAAAGCTCTTCATAAAGCAGAAGTAAAACCAGAACCTTCCTTCTTTTAGAAAGGGTCTGGTTTTGCAAGAGGTTCAAGACAGGCTGTGCCAGACCTGGCTTAGCTGGAGGCTAATTCCAACCTGAGCTTTGTAAAGCAGCTTTCTAATTACAGAGCTTTTAACTAATGACAAGCTGAGCTCTCAGGCCTTGCAGTGGTGTCTGCTTTTGATGTTCTCTCCATCCATTTGGCTCCGGGTGAAACTTGACCTATCCCATGGGCAAAGAGCGGAGGGAATGCTGCTGGCTCAGCGGGCAGGAGCTGCAGGGCTGAAGGTTCCAGAACCAGGAGAGCAAGAGGGGAAAATCCCTTCTGCAGGTAACCCACAGGCTTAAAACTGCTCCGTTCAGAGGCTGTTCTCCCTTCAAGCAAAGGTTCATCATGGAATCCTGGAATGCCATTGGAAGGGACCTCCAGGATGTTCTGGTCCAACCGTCCCAGGCACAGCATGACCTACACTAGATGTCCCAGCGCCGTGTCCAGCCCAATCTTAACAGTGTCCAACGCTGGGGAGTCACCACTTCCCTGGGGAGATTATTCCAGTGGTTGGTTGATCTCATTGGGAAACATTTTCCTCTTGTGTCCAGTTGGAATCTCCCCAGGAGCAACTTGTGCCCATCACCCCTCGTCTTTCCCTTGGGACTCCTTGTCAAAAGGGAGTCTCCATCT